TGTCTCGCGGGCCGAGACAGCAAACACTGTCTCGCCCGTCGAGACAGCAAAAGCTGTCTCGCGAACCTGTTTTCTACCAACTGTTCTTGGAGGTTATAAATACCCTCCTAAGGCCATTTTTCCAGAAGGCTGATCATTGTGAGCACTTCAGAGCAATCCAGAGCAATCCAGAGCAGAGAGAGAGCAGAGGTGTTGATCTTACGGCCAATCCTTGAAATTGAGCTTTGACTTGATTTCAAGAAGAACGACTATCTTACATCGATAAGATATCGTTTCAATTTCTCACTTCGATAAACGAAGTCAGAATCATAAACCCCTCACGGTTCAATCAGAATCTGTGACTTGGTGGTCCACGAGTCAAAGCGCTCCCGGCACAGGCAAAGATCCCACGAAAGCAGTGATCCAAACAACGATCCTGCGTTTATTTTCTCAAGAGTTGTAATTTTCTTTTTGTTGTGTAAAAGAGTCTTATAAAAAGGCTGTTTTCTTTGAATTTATTGTAATCGACCGAAGATATAATGAATTCGACAACAAATTCGACTTTTGGCGAAAACAAACTGGCGACCACAGTGGGAGCCAACGGTCTCGCTGCCGAGACCGTCGTGTCGCAGCCGATCAAGATTCCAGTTGAATCCATGGTCGAATACGAATTCGACCAAACCAAGTTTGAGGAATATTTCTCATCATCCTCTTCAAGATCTTCAGTATCTCGCAAGTACAAGAGGATCTCACAATTGAGGAAGACTTACATGCCAAAGAAGGCACAAAATGAAGATTCTCGCTTGATTGTTGCTGAGAATTTCACTCGCAATACCTCTGCTCACAATGGCTCTTATCTAGTTAAAGAGTCATCGAATCAAAGCCCGCCGGCATTGACGAAAAGAGCTCGTCAGAGACAACGCCAACGCCGCGCTCGCCAAATGGCTAAGGCCTTGGAACAAACCGACGGGGTTCGTTACCACGCGGACCTAGAGTCGAGGAGACATCGAGTGGTTCAGTTGTCTCAACAACCAATCACTCGTATCTCTGCTAAAACAACGACGGATGAATGGACTATTGTCAAAAAGACTCGTTCGACCCTCAAAGAACGTATACAAAAACGTCGTGCAAAAGCTGCTAATGCCCATGCTCTCTCACAACAAAGACGAGAAAAGAGAAAGGAAATGGTGACCAAAGAATCACCAAAACTTCGTCAAGTTTGGATTCCAAAGTCTGGACTTATGCAAAATCAGCATTCGGAGCCCGTTAAGACCCCATACCCGCAAATGGGTGGTTTCAGACGTGCGACTCCCAACATAACCTTGGATCGCTCAAAAACAAAAATAAATTGTCCTGAGAATGCCAACAAGGTTTTATACCCCCAGAAGAAGACGCATTCACCAAATGATATCGTCATACCTGGGAGATCATACCAACAGACGATACGATTTTTTGGCAATCATACCGATGAATCGTATTATCAAGTTGAAGTTGTGAATAATTTTCGAAAGAGAGTTATTCGAGAGATAAACTCTCGTTGTTCCTGTGCGCGACTCGTTAAAACAGCATTATCAGAATGTGACTGTTTCAAACGAGAAGTCATCCCACGAAAAGTCTCTGTATTATCGAAACCTAAGCCGAGACATTTCCGCAAAAGAAGAGCAGCTGTCCAAAATGATGAATTCCCTGAAGTCACCATCAACGTGGCTGATAGAAGAAAGTCTAAACAGCATTCAAGTGACTCAAATCCCGACTTTTCCCCGAAAGGATACGATTATTTGGCAATCATACCGATGAATCGTATTATCAAGTTGGGGTTGTGAATAATTTT